AGCTGCTAGGAGTGCTTTCCTACAAAGAAAAGCGGGACAGCGGTACACATGGGAGGTTGGGGGTGGAGCACGCACATTCACAACAAAATGATCCAGTAGAAAGCGAGGAGTTAGTGATGTAAGAAGGTGAAGACATCTGCTAGAGCCAAGTCCTTGAGGTGGCCTGAGGCACTGAGACCTGAAGCACAAGAGGAGGGGAAACTCTAAATAAGGGCTGGAGTGTCTGGGTACAGAGGCAGCTGGAATCTGTCATGCGGTTTAACATCTCAGAACCAGGCTGTAGACTAAACTCCCCTTTCAATTCCTATGGTATGTTATCATAGTCTCTGGTGGATCTGACCACTTTCTGATTTGCATAACTAATATGAGATACTAGGCAGAAGAAGAAACACATTTTTTAAAACCATAGAGACTTCTGCCTTCTCTAGCATTTGCTCAGAAAAGATAGATCATGACACCAAAATAGTCAAGAGGTAGACACCAAGAGACATAAGCTGACAGTTAGTGGAAGGATCTAAAATCACCTAATCCAACCCTCTTCTTATAACAAAGAGTAGACTGGGGTTCAGGGGAGTGTTTGCCAGTCCCTGGGTTAGTGGCTGATCTGGGACTAGAACTCCAGGCCCTAACTCTATCTCAAAGGCTGCTTCCTCTGCAGAACAGGGCAGCCTCTGCCCTGCACTCTGGAGTCAGGTGCAGCCCCCTGGATCACTGGATAAGCCAGCACAATGGTATAGGTACTGAACATATGGACAAGGGACTCTAAAAGCACAAAACATTTTGTGGCCTCACAGCTCCTTCCAGGCCTGCTGGCAGGTCCGCGTTACACAGAGAACCCAGCTCCAAGCATGCCCCACCCATCACCCCCTGAGTCCCTCCCAAAACAAGTTCCTTCAGCCACAGTCAGAGGAATCAGGCATTGGTACAGCCTTTGGGGAGCAACTGGGCAGATTTAAATAAAATCTAAAGTCTACAAACCTTTCCACCAAGCACTCTCACATCCGTAATTTTTTCCTAAGAATTACTAATGAAAGTATGCAAAGATATGTGGCTTTGTTTGTAACAGCGAAAGTCACAAGTAATGTGTACACATGCATTTTAGTTACTTTGGGGCAAGAAATTGAACTGAAAAGACTTCACTTTTTTGTGTCATCTACTTCTGCATTGTTTGATTCTATTACAAATACGAATTACTTTCGTAATTCAAAAGAAGTAAAAATTAAAAGGACAAGTAAACTCTTCTCTGATCTGGAAATATGTTCAGACCGTGGCAAGGCAAATTACTTTATTATGTGTCCCTTTTTATATTATAGAAATGTTTACATTGAACAGATATTGTTTTTAAGATATTAAACCTAGTATTAAAAAATTCCTTCCTTGGGTTCCTATTATCTTCAAAATAAAGAAAAATGTCTCAGCCCTGAGCAGAGACAGCAAGTTGCCCCAAATACCCATCTTTCCTTCTTCAATCACACTAAAACTTCTGACTTTAAACAGGGTATGTATTGTCTCAGAATACCCTCTACATTTTCCAGCCTCCCTGGCTGTCAGTTAAGGCCATGTGACTACGTCCTGGCCAACAGAGTGAGAGCACAGGTAATATCTATGTAACTCCTGGGTCGTGCCTTTAAAGAGCAGGGGTGTGGACTCACAATAAGAAATAGAAATTAAAACTACACAGAGATGTATTTTTCACCCATCATATCACTACAAATCAAAAGCTTGATGCACCCTCATTTGGCGAAACTTTGTGAAAACAGGAATACTCATACATTACTTATGGGAATGTAAAATTACACAGCCACTTTTTTAGAAAATTCGGAAATATCTTTTAAAATGAGGACTTTTTTTTAACCCTTTGACCTAAGAGTTATCTCATTCTTAGGAATTTACCTTAAACATAAACCCCTCAACAACACAAAAATACATATGCACTAGGTTACTCATTGTAGCTTTATTTGTAGTTGCAAAATATTGAAAAACAATGCTCATATATAGGAGATTGATGGAGTAAACTATGTTCCACCCACACCACAATGCTGTCTTAAAAAGTGAGGGAGATCTCTATGAACTCATATGGAGTCATTTCCAAGATACACTAAATTTATTTTTAATTGTAAAAGGGTATATGCAGTATGCAAACATTTGTGTAAGAAGGGGAAATGAAAGAATGGAGTGTTAAAGATAGGTGCGAAAGTAACACTACTCAAAGCATACCTTTTTAAATAATTTTGACTTTAGAGCCTTGTTAATGTTTTGTGTATTCTAAAATTAAATTAAATCAACAAGAACAAAATACAAATAAATGAATCAAACTGTATCTCAAATAATGAGTATAACAATAAAGACAAAAAATAATTAATCCAAGTAAAATTTAAATACAGTACTTTATATACCTTCAGTCAACAGATAAAAACACTTTAAAGAAATCTTAAGCTGTACTGTGGTGGCCATAGGACGCCTCTTTTCAGAACAATCTGCCGTGGGAGCAGCTCACCCAAGGTCTCCAGCCTCCATACCTTCAGAACCACCGCAGCATGAATGCCACAGCCACAGCTACGCGTGCCAGGGCTTCTCTCAGCCAGTGGCCACGCGCAGCAGGTACACTGAGCCATTCCTGCCTGAGGCAGGTCTCCTCTAACAGGTAACCTTGGCTTGAAGACTCCCCATCACCCCGGCTAAGACTCTCAGACCTTAGTTGAAAGCTCTGCCTACCTAATCCTCCTTCCTTGCCATTTCTTTTCACAGACCTGCATTGCAATCTGAAGGATTTCCCTGCCTCTATGGGCAGCATTCCCCTTTAGCCATTACAGCCATTTCCCAAATCAACCTCTTACACATCTAATCCTGTTTCAGCATCTGCTTCTTGAAGGATCCAATCTGAAAAAACTACTAAGTAGGTCTGCTGTTTGTAATGGGATGAATGTAGTAATTCTGAAGCTATTGTGTATATGTTGCGGGATTAACCAAATGGGTAAATATAGTGATATAGTTGGGAATCAGGGTTCTAATTGCAGGAGAAGAATGAAACAAATACAGAATGAGGGAAGCAAGAAAGAATGCGGTTGTGTTGAAGTGTAATAGGAGGTCAGTATAATCTCATAAATTATGTGTGTGTGTGATATTTATAGGAAATGGAGATAGGAGATATGTAGATATAGTGTGTGGACATGTATATATGTGAGTGTGATTATTTATACATCTTCTAGCTCTGTCCACTGAAAAGGACAGAGGGCAGAAATGCCCCATTAGCAATGAGTACACTTAATGCTCAGATGTTGGGCTCTAAATTGCAGTAAAAGGAACCAAGTAGAAACATGTCTACACAAAAGAATGCATGTGAATGCTCATAGCAGCATTATTCTTAATGGCCAAAAATCCAAACTTTTTTTAATCCAAATATCTATTAAAAATGGACAAACTTTTTAAGTGTAATATATACATACAGCGGAACACTATCCAGCAATAAAAAGTAATAAATTACCTATATGTTCTACAACATGGATGAATCTCAAAAACATTACACTAAGTGAAAGAAGCTTGGCACAAAAGCCTGTGCATTCTATGATTCCATTCATATGAATAGTCCAGAAAAGACAAATCTAAAGAGACAGAAAAAAGTGGCTATCTAGGACAAGAGGAAGGTGTTGCAGTAGTGCAAATGCTCAAGGGAAATTTTTGAGAAACAGAAACGTTCTAAAAGTGAACTGTGGTGATGATCTCTAAATTGGGGAAACTGTCCCCTACTTTTGCAGCCTCATGCCCCAATTCTCCCCTTCATATACCTTAAATCCCACTGACAAGGGTGCCAGGACCATTCAATGAGGGAAAGGATAGTCTTTTCAGAAAATGGTGCTGGGAAAACTGGAAATCAACATGCAAAAGAATGAGGTTGGACCCTTACCTAACACTATATAAAGGAACTCAAAATGGATTGGGGACCTAAATGTACGAACTAAAACAATAAAACTCTTGGAAGGAAACATAGAACAAAGGCTTCATGACATTGGATTTGGCAATGATTTCTTGGGGATGACATGAAAAGCATAGGAAATAAAAGAAAAACAGCAAATTGGACTTCATAAAAAATTTTAAATTTTGTACATCAAAAGATACTGCCTACAGAGTAAAATGACAACCCCCAGAATGGGAGAAAATGTTTGCAAATGATATAACTGATAAGGGGTTAATATCCAGAATATATAGATAACTTCTAAACCTCAACAACAGCAATAAAAAAAAACCTCAACCCAATTCACAAAGAGGCAAAGGGCTTGAGGAGACATTTCTCCAGAGAAGATAGATGAATGACCAATGAACACATGAAAAGATTCTCAACATGACTAATCTTCAGGAAAATGCCAATCAAAACTGTAAGACCACCTCATACCCATTAGGATGGCCACTATCGAAAAACAGAAAATAATTATTGGCAAGGATTTCAAGAAATTAGAATCTTTGTACATTGTTGGTGGGAAGATAAAATGGTACAGCTGCTGTGGAAGACAGTTCCTCAAAAAATTAAATAAAATTACCATATGATCGACAACTCTACATCTGAGTATATACCCAAAAGAATTGAAAGCAGGGTCTTGAAGATATATTTGTATACCCATGTTCATAGCAGCATTATTCACAGTAGCTAAAACATGGAAGCAACACAAGTGTCCATCAACAGATGAATGGATAAGTAAAATGCAATATATACATACGATGCAGTATTATTCAGCCTTAAAAAAGAAATTCTGTGAATTGCTACAACATGGACAAAACTTGAGACATTATGCTAAGTGAAATAAGCCACTCACAAAAAGACAAGTACATGATTCTACTTATATGAGACACTTAGACAATGTGAATATAATTAATACCACTGAGCAGTACACTTAAAAATGGTTAAGATGGTAAGTGTTATGTGTATTTTACTGCAATAAAAAAATCCCTACAAAACAATGACTATGTGTGAAGGACAATGGTGACAAAAATGACCTATCTCTTACCTTCATCAAGCAACCAGCAAACACAAGGAAGCCTTTTGAGTGCAGATGTTTGGCCAAGGAGAACCCAAATCCAGAGTCACAGCCAGTGACCAGGACAGCTTTGCTACCAACCTGTTTTAGAAGAGTAGACCCCATGTTAGAAACTAGGATCCTGAGGGCAGAGTGACCAAGCCTCCTCTGGCCAATAACAACCAGTGCTTCCTGACTGGACTAGGCTCGGCCTTCCCTGCCGGGCTCTTTCTGTCTGAAGGAGCACCATAGTATAGTGGAAAAAGCTTGGACTTAGAATCAGGAGACTGGGTTGTAACCGAGACTCTGTCACCATTTAATAATGTTGCTTGGAAGTTACTTCTCCTTCCTGGACCTCAGTTTTCTCACCTGCAATCACCCTTATCACCATCACCATCAGCATCACCATCACCATCACCATCGTCACTTGTCATCTTCATCATGGACATGGCACTGTGCATGCATTATTCTTAATTCTCATAACTCCATATAGTAATTATGATTATTATACCATGTTACAAGTGAGGAAAAAGATAGTTTTTAAATTATCAACATACTAAATAATAGAACTGAAACTGAAACCAGGCCTGAGGGATTCTAAACTCTTAACCTCATTTGATGAGAGGTTTGGGGAAGTGAAGTGGGGGTTAAGAATGTAAGAAAGTAGCCCTGGCTGGTGTGGCTCAGTGGACTGAGTGCTGGCCTGAGAAGCAAAGGGTCGTGGGTTCCATTCCCAGGCAGGGCACATGCCTGGGTTGCAGGCCAGGTCCCCAGTGAGGGGTGCATGAGAGGCAACCACCCACTGATGTTTTTCTCCCCCTCTCTTTCTCACACCCTTCCCCTCTCTCTAAAAATAAATAAATTAAATAAAAAAAGAAAGAAAGAAAGAAAGAAAAGAATGTGAGAAAATGCTCTGAGTGTCCTGGAAGCTCTAAAGCCCAGCTCTGACGGTGGCTCAGCACCTGGGGGCTCTGACCACTTGGCTGGTTCCCAGGTAGCTGGGCTGCCACTCACCGGGTTCACTGCATCGGCATAAGTACGACAACCCACAGGGGCGAAGGGGGCTGGGTAAAACAGCAGTGTGCGCCTGCAAGAGAAAAAGGGAACCATGAGCACAGGTTGTGGTCACACCTAGACCTTGTTCCTGGGGCAGAAGCAACTCAGAGTACCCTCAGCCACCAGTAAACAGTACTGACTATCTCCCCACCCTGAGCCCCTGGGAACATCCTGCTGGTATTGCTGAGGAAGGGGTCCTTTTTCCTTCAGGGCTGCTAGGCTGGTAGAAAGTGGGACATTGGTTGCAGTGACCATTTTTGCTACTGTGTAGGAAGAACGTTTCAGGTGATAGCACTTTATAAACAAGACATTCTGAAAATGTGATGTTTTATCGCTTGGGTTTTATGCTGTTTTCTGATAGTTTAATTTAACCTTTTATTTTGAAATAATTGTAGATTCACATGCAGTTAAGAAACAGTACAGAGAGATGCCCTGTACCTTTTACCCAATTTCCCCTCATGGTAACATCTTGCAAAACGATATCACAATCAGGATATTGACATTGATGCAGTAAAAATACAGAGCATTTCCACCCCCACAAGGATTCCTCACAATACCCTTTTATAGCCACGCCCTCTTCCTTCCCATCCCATAACCTCTTTAACCCTAATCTGTTCTCCATCTCTATAATTTTGTCATTTCAAGAATGCCATATAAATGGAATATTTCACCATGCAACCTTTTGGGATTGCTTTTTTCTTTTTTAAATTTTTAAATGGAATCTATTAGAGTGACATTAATAAAATTATATAGGTTTCAGGTGTACAATTCTATAATATATCATCCGTATATTGTGTTATCTGGTCATCACTCCAAGTCAAGTTTCTCAGTCACCATTTACAGGAGAAATGATTTCTGCCCTTTACCTTCTCCTACCTCCTCCCACCTCCTTTCCCTCTGGTAATCACTATATTGTTGTCTGTCTATGAGGTCTATGAGGTTATGAGGTGTTTTGTTTTGTTTTGTTTTGCTTGATCCCTTCGCCTTTTCACCCAGCCCCACAATACCAGTCCCCGAACAACTGTCAGTCTGTTCTCTGTATTTATGAGTCTGTCTCTATTTTGTTAGTTCATTTTGTTCATTAGATTCCACATATAAGTGAAATTGTATGACATTTGTCTTTCTCTGACTGGCTTATTTCATTAGCATAGTGTTCTCCAGGTCCATCCATGCCATTGTGAAAGGTAAGATTTCCTTTTTTACAGCTGAGTAGTATGCCATGGTGTAAATGTACCACAGTTTTTTATCCACTCATCTACTGATGGGTACTTGGGCTGCATCCAAATCTTGGCTACTGTAAATAATGCTACAATGAACAAAGAGATGCACACATTCTTTTGAACTAGTGTTTTGGGTTTCTTTGTATAAATACCAAGAAGTGGGAACTCTAGGTTCTAATGCAGATCCATTTTTAATTTTTTGAGGTGCATCTATACTGCTTTCCACAGTGGCTGCACAAATCTGCATACCCACCAACAGTGTAAAAGGGTTCCATTTTCTCCACATTCTCGTCAACACTTATTGTTTGCTGACTTGATGATAGTCACTCTGACAAGTGTGAGGTGATATATCACTTTAGATTTAATTTGCTTCTCTGATGAGGAACGTTGAGCAACCTCTCCTATGCCTATGGGCCATCCATATGTCCTCTGGGGAAGTGTCTATTCAGGCCCTTTGCCTATTTTTTAATTGGATTGGGTTTTTTGATGTTGAGTTTTTTAAGTTCTTTATTAATTTTGGATATTAATCTCTTATCAGATATATTGGCGATTATGTTCTTGGAATTGGTTTTGTCACTCAACATCAATCCTGAAGATTCATTGAGATTGTTGTATGCATCCAAAATTTGTTTCTTTATATTTCTAAGTTGTATCCAAAGTCTGCCCCTGGTGTGCAGACAGTAAGAAGAGCAGGCTGTCAGGTGTCAGGACCAAGACCACATGCAGACACTCCTGGGAAGGTTTTCATCTGGACAGATGCTGTGTACTAGGAGACCACTGCTCTGCGGCAGACACACATGGGAAGGGGGTTGGTGCTCTGTTCAGGGCACCACATCTCAAAAAGGAGCTCAGGCCAAATGGACACATTCAGGTGGGAGACCTGGATGCTGAGTGGGGAAACCATGGGAGATGAGCAACAAAAAAAACATGTAGGTGGAATGAGAAGTCAGAGCGATGGGGGATAGGACTGAAGGGGCATGGTGTCCCTAGAGATAAAATGTTAACTTGTTCAGTATGAATAGAGAGGGAGGACCCAGGAACAAGGGGTGGAATTTATAGGAGAAATGATTTCTGCTCAATATGAAGAAGGACTTTATGAGAGCACTATCCAAAGACCGAAGGCCTGTTGTGAGAGGTACTGTACTGTCCACCCCATGGTTGAAGATATAAGGCTGGAAGGTCAATTGTTAAAGATGCTATCACATGATCCACCCACAGGTAGGAACAGAATTATGAGGCTCTTGCCAACTGAGATTCAAGCAAAATGACAAGGCCAAAGATTTTCCCCACCCAAAGACCTCCTGCCTGATCCAGGCACAGTGAGCCCTTCTGTCCTCCTCACCCACCGGCGTCTCCCTCCTAGACCTCTGCTAACATCTTTGCCCTGAGGAAAGCTAATGTCCTCTGATTCAGCTCTGCCCCGACCACCCTGTCCCCAACCCACTCAGCCTAAATAGTTATTTCTACAATCCTTCCAGAAGACTCAGAATCTCCTCATGACAGCCTTTCTTTTCCCTCAAATGAGTCAGAAGCTTGACCAATACCTCATTCCCCGTTGATCCGAGGATAAAACCTTTGTAAAAGTATTTAACTTCCTTTGGGATTATTTTCTCCTCTATAAAAAATAATCTCCAGAAATTTCTCGAAGTCATGTTTGAGACAGGATTTTGCCATTTCTATGTATCACTCACTGAAAAAAAAATTGCAGTAATTCCCCTTCTCAAAAGCCTTTCAGTAGAGCCAGACTCTGTTCTCTCTTCAGAGGTGCTGGGATGTCACCTCTGCTGGAAAGGCCATTCATTTTAACTCCTGTTACATAGTGTCCTCTGGTAGCTGAAGCCCCATCTCCAACAAAGCTGCTGTATCCCAAGGAAATGCTTTTCAGCAAATGCTGCCATAAGCGTAAATGCATGCTCTTCTAAACATATTTATTGGCATAGAAAATACCCATCAATTTTCTAGCTGCTGGGACTTTGAAATTAACCTTACACTTAATCTCACTGCTCTTAAATATAAAAGAAAAAGATATATTTTTCCTTGCTCTGGCTGCAACAGAGGAAAATGGGGTAGCAGAGTACACTGAATCCCTTTGGAAAAGGCAATCCCAGAGCTCTCAAAGAAGAGCTGATAGTTCAGTTTGTACTTAGCTTTCTCTAAATCACACAAGCAGTTCAGCAAAGTCTCAGGACATTTTAGGTAAAGGGCTTCATGCGTGTAAGGTTTGAAAAAAGCAGTTACCCAGGTGATCAAAGTAATGGGACACATCAAACAGAAATGTCCTGTGCCTTCTGATGCGATGCACTGAGAAGACACCATCTCACCTGGGTGGCACTTTCCAAACATGAATACCTAAATCTAAACAGGAGGACATCACACAAACCCAAATTGAGAGACTTTCTTCCAAAGTGTCAAGGTCAAAAACAACAAAGACTGAGGAACTGTCCCCAATAGGAAGAGAATAAGGAGACATAACAACTAAATCACTGTGGGACTCTGCTTTGTAGCCTGGACCGTAAAGGTGGACCATTTAACATTGTTTGAATTAGGTGTGTAGCTGTGTTAGCATCATATCAGTGGTAATTTCCTGCTTTTCCTGATTGCACTATAGTTTTGTAAGATGTTAACATGTGGAGAAGTTAGGTAAAGAAGATAGAGAAACACTTTGTACTATTTTGGCAGCTTTTGTATCAGTGTTGTTATCTCAAAATAAAAACTTTAAAAATCTTATGAAAGATATTCTTCTGTGCCCTGTGTGCCCTGGGTAGGTCTCTGTCTTCTAAGGACACTTTTAGTTTCCTTTGCTGGTTGGTCATGGCTAGTACTGAGAGACACCGTTGAGTGTCAGGCCTTATGACCACCTCCTCTGTCTTCCATGTGTGAAGAGCTCCGCTTTGCCCATAGAGTGCACCCCTTGAGGCCACCTCCAGCGTTCAGTTTCTTACCTTGTTCCATTTTCTCTATCAGAGAAACTCAGGGTTTTCCCTGGGAGCTTGGACAGGAGTCTAGAGAGGCGGGCAGTCAGCATTGTGGCCGCAAGAAGTAGAATGATCAGCCTCCTGCTGGCGGGTTCTGAAACACAAAATGCACTCTCAGTACCGCCTTGTTGACTTCAGAGGTTTTGGCAGGAGTGGCCATTTTTCTTGCAGGTTGTGAAAGTCAAACTGAGCCCTGTCTGTTTGATCCAGGTCCGATTAAGTAGACCTCCCCAGCACATTCCTCTCAAGCTGAGCCTCATGTGATGGAAAGAGCCAGGAGGATGGGGGACATCTAGAAACCTGGCTTCTGGTTCTGACTGTGTCACCAACTCATTGGACAACCCTGGTTGAGTCATCACCCATTTGAAGCATGAGGAGGGTGGACCAGACCAGTGATCCTCAAACCAAGCTGTGCAGCAACCACTGGGGACTCAGGGACTGAGGGGCCTACCCTCCCTACCCTCTCAGGGATTCCAACTCCATGAGCCTCATTCTCTGTCTGTATTCCTCATACCCAGCAAATCATCAATCTGTGTGACCCAGGACAACAACCCTCACTCTCAGTTTGCCCACATACCTCCTCAGACAGCTTTTCCAGACATGTATCATTTGACTCAGCTCCTCACCTCTCTCTCCAACCCCACCAAACACAGGGCCTGGCTCTGAGGCTGGACTCATCGGTAACTCATTATAACATAGGGACTGCAGTTTTATTATAAAATGAGACACACTTTAATCAGCCTAAATGAAAACACACACACACAGTCTCTCCCACCACCCTACCACCCCCTTTCAAGGTTAAATCAACGTTATTGCAACAAGGTCATGTAGACTTAGTATCTCCTTAAGGCTACTCAGCTCCATGACTACTTGTGTATTATTAATTGTTGATCATGATGTGGCTTGGTTGCCTCCCTGTCCTGATCCATTGTCATGACTGCTCCTGGCCTCAGAGAAGGAAAGGGGAGGCTGGGAGGGAGCTGAGCAAGGCAACCATAGCCAGAGAGACGTCGCTCTTTTCCTGGTGAACCTTCCTAGCCTCTCCTGTGCTTCTGCCTGGAGGCAGCTCCTGCCCTGCCCTTTTGCTGGCACCCAAACCTAACTGGGCTAATAGGTCTGTAATAAATTCATTAACTAGCCTGCCACTGCAAATTCACTGGAGAAGACAGGTGGAGGTTTAATCTCTTTAATCCTCAGGAAAGGAAAACAAACAGCATGTCTTGGTTTCTGTGATCTTTCCTGGACCACGCAGTCAAGGCTCCTGCTTCCCCTCCTGCTCCTACTTGCCACGCTCCATTGCCAGCACTGCAGTCCAGTTATGTGACTCCTTTGCCTAAAAGCCTTCTTACCTTGCTTGTCAGAACAGCCACTGCCTCCCTTCCCACCTTGTCCAGTACCACATTCCTCTGGGCTCACTGCACTGTAGCCACACCGACCTTCTGGAAGTTTCTTATGTATGCCAAGCTCTTTCCTGCCTCAGGGTCCTGGTCCCTGCTTTTCTTCTCTCTAGATGGCTGAGTTCTTCTGACCTTTCAGAACTTCACAAAGGCTGTCCCCAATCCCTAATGCATGACACAGAGGTGTTACTCTTTAAGATCACTCTTCAATTCAAAATTAATATCTTGTTTCATTACTTTATCCTTCCCTTCTAGATTATAAGCTTGGTGAGTCTAGGCGCCTTGTCCATCTTGTTCTCCACAGAATCCCCCATGCCTTTGAGAAACTTGGCACCAACGAAGCACTTAGTGAGTCTCTGCAGAGTGGGGATAATCTGTGTGCTCACAGACCCCCACCCCATCCAGACTGGCCCTCCACAGAAGGCCCACGCCCATCATGCCCATGCCGGACTTAGATTCCTTAACTGGGTGACTTTCATCCCACCCAAGCACAGACCAGCTGGCTGAGCATTCACATCTCCACCTTCTCTCACCAGAAGCGGAGTCTGAGGACACCACCACTGGATGATTTCAAATCCAGTCATCCATAATTAAAGCCCTTTCCATCCCTTATGTTCAATACCTTGTGGCAGAGAATGCTTCGGTATTATCTCCAAATAGACGGCTGCTTTGAATTTTATTTTCCTTAGAGTCAGCAATATCTAAAAGTGCTGGAGTCAAAATAAAGTGCACAAAAGCTCAGCTGCTTGAATAATGAATACACTGTGCACAATGTTGCCTCTTATATGCACAATGGTAGACCTGTGAATCTCTTTTTCTTTTTTTAAGTTTCTTAAAAACATTGTTATTTTCACTCCAAACACGGTACTATAGGCAGTGGGATTCCCACATACTCTTCTGGGTTCTTTGCCATCTTAATGCCCTGTGCTGGGCTTCATTCTCTGTAACTGCTAAATTCTCAAACTTGAAATGCTACTCACTTGCCTGTTGGTTTAGAATCCGAAATGATTGTGGGAGGTAGGGGCTGAAGAATGGCAAAGGAACGGTGGGGGCTGGGAGACAATCCCCTTAGCCTTGAATTAAATTAGCTGTCCCTCCGAGACTTGACACAGGAAAGCTTGTCTCCCAGAGACAAATTTATAAGATACTGTTGCAAAATCAAAATGCTCACATACCAATTGTAATCTGGAAGACACTTCAGTGAGAACCTCTGCTCTCAAGAGCACATTCTTTCCATTTTCAATGCATAATCCATTATAACTGTGAGCACCCCCTCACCAAAAATACAGTGTGCATCGTTGCCCGGATACTGGGCTCCACTGTCGGATTTGAACAGGATGATCTTACAGACGACAGAGCTGGTTTTACTCCTGTGAGTAAAGAGTCAAGGTGTCCCTTGCAAGGGACAGACATTCCCACTATTGACATCCTTGAAAAAGGTGGGGCATCATCAAGAAACAGTAACACAGAAGGCAGGCCTTAGGCAGAAAAGAGAAGTCACTTATTTCTGGACAGGAAATCTGGCTGGGCCTAGGCACAACCAAGGGGGAAGGGAAGACACTGTCACACTGGGGAGAGCAACCTGGGTTTAGGCAGGGAACCATACTATGTAGGAACCCCACACTGAGAACCTTAAGACCAGCAAGCTATGTGAAACTCCAAGGTCTGAAAACTGGCAGCCTCTGTTACACTTGGCTGTTTCATTCGGCCAGCCTAGTGTTTTAAAAGGCAATGCTACTAGGCAGCTAAATTATGCTTGAGCCCAATACAAACAGTTTTCACTTACTACCTTAAGCCTACCTAGATCACCATTGTTAACTGCCTGGACAGTATGGGCATTTGAGTTTGAGATTCCTCACCAGATAGATACATATTATCCTTTGGCTATTTCCCTTGATTGCTTATTTTACATAGCATAGTCTATGTAAAGTTCCAGCTCAACTCAGCTATGCCTGCTAACTGCACAGTTAATGGGGGCTTTCTTGAGGCCATGCAAAGGACACCTTGACAAGTTTTAAAGCCCTCATTCAAAAAAGATGCCTGTTACTCCTTAGAAAAATAACTGTTCTGGGACAAAATTCTAAAGAGCATTATATAGGACCATCAAATGATATAGTAGACATTGTTCCCACCACTATTTTATCATAAATACAGCAGTGACTCTTGTGTACCTGTGTTTAAGAGAGACCCTAATTAGGCAAACCTAATGCAGATGCTTGGATTAGTCTGAGAGACTCTCCAGTCCACAGATTAGACTTCGGTGATGGCCAGTTCTTTCCAGGGAACACGTCATAAACGCTCTCGGAAGTGGTCACCTTTTGGATGTCTGTCCTGCTCACTTTATCCCTGTACTCTCAGACCTGCCTTTCACCCTCATGATTTGGCCTCTGTAGCTGCAGTTGGACAGTTAGACCTCCCCCCAGCCATGAAGTACTGGCGGGGGGGGGGGGGGAGAGACACCTGACCCATGATGACCCCATCACTCTGTCCCTGGCACTGTGAAAGAATGCAATCAGCCTCTGCTGGGCAGGGACATGTGATTTGGCTGCTGGAGTGGAGAAAGGGAGCAGTTATGCTGCATTAGGCCCGACACCACAGAGAGATGGGGAAAGCATCTGCAGAGAGAAAGAGAAGAGTCAGGCACACATGCAGAAAGGACTGGAGATGGAGGTAGTGAGAGAGAAAAACAACAGAGCCTCCTTCGACCCTGAGAAAGAACATGCCTACTAAGAAGGGCTCCTGGTGGCTAACTGGACTCAAATTTAAAAAACAGAGCCTACCAGCCATTTCTAGACAGGAGCCTCTCATGCAAACTGCCCTTCAGGGAGAAGCCTGCACTGAACTGCCTGCCTGCACTGTGCTCCTGCCATCTGAACCAGCCCTTATAAAGCACTTCTTGGAATCCTATTTCAATCAGTAGGACTGAGGCTTTCCCCATCCAATTGGAGCTGAACAGCTATCTCCCCATCAGCATCTTCACTATCCAATCGAAGGAGCTTCAATCTGGCCAATCAGGACCCAATCAGGACCACGTCTTTTGGATGGATCAAACTTATGAGGATTTCAAGTCCTCACGTGCATGAGGACAGACCAGTCAGGTGCCAGGGGCAGGGACTACTGCCTGTATTAAAGTCAGCTCCCCTCTGGCTCTAGAAGCATACTTTCCCTTTCCACTGAAGACTGAGTCTTCCCGGCTGGAGCTGAAACACTAGAGATGTCTAGCTGCAGCACAGCAGACCAGACCAGACTGGTACAGAGCAGAGCAGAGCCAACTAGCCAGAGGAGGACTGGCCCCTGGGCTGTCTCACCCCAGTGCCTCCTAACATCTGTGCTGCTTCATAAGTGAGCTGTAACACCATTAAGCTGTTCCACAGCGGTGCTGTTCTCATAGCCATGCACAATTGAGTTGCTCACACTGAATAAAATTTCTTTCTTTATCCCGCCCAAACTGGGCATTTCTGTTGGTGTTGAATCGACACCAACCGCAGGCTGACAGGTAGGTGTGTGCATGAGGCCCTGCTGCCCTTCTGTCCTCCATCTCCATGCAGCATGCGATGTCTTTATTCTGCACGTTGATTTAAGCAGCTTCAAGTTTCTGTTACTTGCAGCCAAAACAGTATGGACTACAACACACTGAGAGCAGGTTCTTTCTCAGATCATCATTATTAAATCTTACACTTGCTCCGTCCATATTCTGGGAATGCCACACCGTAGATCTTATCATGACAACAGGAACATGGGTCCCACCTTCTCTACTTCTTGATTTGTTATGGGACCAAACCACTTCCAATTATGTAATAGTTGCCAGCCAAAAGACAATTCTGAGATGATTTTATGAGAAGGAGCAAACATTATTTCCAGCTGGCAAGCAAGGACACACCAGCAGTTCACTTCCCAAAGTGGCACATCCCCAAACAATTCATCTTTATTCAGGGAAATCATGCATAAACTTCAAGGTGAGTGTCATCATCATCTCATGTTTAGGTGGGGACATTGCTGTGCGTGCACAGTTGGAAAACATGCCTACACATATATCACATATTCAAAAATGGTGGAAGATGTTAGTTTATAATGAGGGTATAATGAGCATAGTTCAGGAGGAGGGCAGTAGAGGGTCCTCCGGGCTACCTTGAGACCTTGGCTGGCCTCAGGCAGTTTGAGCTGGATCAACGCCCTGGTCCTATAAATCGCCCTGGGCTTATTCCTGAAAACACCTCTGGCAATCTTTAATGTCAGGGATGGCGTACATACGGAACAAAGTTTAACTCCTAAGACTTTCTGTTAAACTCTTAGCAAATTACAAGATACAAACCTTACAGGGGCGTCCAACCCATGGCCTGTGGGCTGCATGCGGCCCAGGATGGCCATGAGTGCGGCCCAACACAAAATCATAAATTTACTTACCACATTACTGAGTTTTATTACTAAGTTTTATACTGTTTTGTTATTTAGATATGTACATTTTCTATATTAGTGATCACAGATTTGGGACTTGCTTGATGATTTTAAAAGGTTATTGAAAGGGCCGCTGAAATTGGAGTTATTATGTTGAAGAATTTCTTGCTTATCTGTGGTGGCGGGTATCATGAAAATTATGCATGGACCTTTTTTTGCTCATCAGTGTTCGTTAGTTTTTGTGTATTTAATGTGTGGCCCAAGACAACTCTTCTTCTTCCAGTGTGGCCCAGAGATGCCAAAAGGTTGAACACTCCTGCCTTATAACATCTAAGGTGAACTAAGTGGGTTGACAGGTTAGTCTAAGCAAAGTTATGGATTCTAAATAAAAATTTGTGTGTGTGTGTGTATATACTTATATATGCATATATGATTACAAATTGGTCTCCCCCTAGAGAAAGTGTTACCAGAGCTCCCAAAATTACCATAGTTACAACTTCCAGAGTAAGTAGGCACTCCATCCTTAGGAGAACACAGCTTGCCAAATTCAAGTCAGACCACTAAACGAAGTCGCAGGGTTCCATTCTTGGCCTCTTCTCACCACCATGGCAAGCTCGCGTAGCACTAAATATGATTAACATGCTACCAACTCCCAAATGTTCATATCCAACCAGCCGTCTCCTCTGAACTCCAGACTTATATATCCAACTGCCCATCTAACATCTCCACTTAAATCTTGAATAGGTGTTGCAAATGTCACCTGTCCAAACTGAGCTTGTGCTATGACCCTGAGCATCTGCTCCTCTACATCCTCTTCATTCCTGACTCCTCTCCTTCTCGCACACTCCAAAGCTGTCGTCAGCAAACCCTGGCTCCACCTTCACAATATATCTAGGATCATCTCCTACGATCTTTTTTTTTTTAGACAATATAGTGCTTTACCATTTACAGATCTTTCACATACATTCCATTTGACCCTCACAACAACCCTGTGAGGTAGGCTGCACAGATATCACTGTATTTTGCCATGTATAATGCGCTCCTGTGTGTAATGCATACCCATGTATTTGGCCCAAACTTTCAGGGGGAAAAAAATCTTTCATTTTAACTTTTAATTTTTTTTTACTTTAATGTAACCTTTATTATATTTTCCCATTACCATTTAGTCCCCTTATACCCTCTTGCCCCCAGTCGTTTTAATTTTTAATTCAATTATTTATTTATCTATTTATTTATTTATATTTAGAAACAAAATCAATTATTGTATTCCACAGTATTATTTTGCATACAGATATTGTTATTGCTCTTTAGAGTTACACTTTTAATGCAAAAGCACAAATAAAAATATTAAAAACATTTATAGATATGGAATTAGTACTACCCATGTATAACATGGATCCTTATTTTTCCCTCAAAAACTTGGGCAGATATGTGTGCATTATAGGTGGCAAAATATGGTATGCTTCTCATTTAACAGAGGAGGCAAGTGAGTCTCAGAGCAGGTAGCTGATGTGCCAAAGGTTCTACAGTTAGTAAATTATTTGTGTTAAGGTCTGTCTTTGGCCTAAAAATTTAGCACCCAACCTCCTCCTCATACTTGCCCTACCTACTTCACAGGGATAATGAAGATAAAATGAATTCAAGGCAAGAAAAATACTTTGGAGGAGAAGAACCACTGTAAAATTATGCCCACAAGCTATAGTTTTCCACATTACCCTTTTCATCCCAGCTTGTGCATGAACCCAGAATTTTATGTTGTCTCTGTTCTGTGCTCAACTAATCAACCAAATAAGGCAGGGGAAAAGAGTGATCCTGTTTAGTTATATCAATTACAATTAGGATAACTGCTATTATAGCAAATTGAAAATCAACATGAAAAGGCCAATGTGCAAGTAGGCCCCATTGAAGCACAGAGCAAGCAAGGCAACATTATCAGACAGGGTAAGCTTGCACAGAGTGAAATTCTGGTGTCAGAGTTCAAACTGGCACACACAGTGGTTATCTAATGCTAAGTGATGGCAAAGAAGAGTTATTTGTTCTGCATTATATAAACAAGCAAAAGAGTAAATGGGAACCCATGCAAAAGTATCTCATGTCACAGAGATCTTTCCAGCTGCCTATGTTACTGGACTCAAGGGGTTCATCTCTTGGGGTGTTCTATTCAAGAATAAGACATGTGTTGCAAGGTAGTTTTATTTTCTTGCAGCAAGTAAAGGGGACAGAGGATTCATATACAAAGCGTTCTCACTGAAAGGAGGGTTAGTCATTGCTTATACATACTATTGGATCATTACATGTTGATTTTTTCTTTGTAGTTAGCTATACTTTTCCTGTTGGGTTCTTTTCAAGCTCATCCATCTTACAGTTGGTCTGCACAATACTGTGCTGCATTTTAACATTTAGCAAGAATAGCATTTACTGAAAATGACCCAGACCTTGAGATCCTGGTCCTATCTAACACCTACAGAAAATATAAACAGTATCATCTTAATTTTAAAGAAATGTGCTCATATCCTAAATTAACCATGGAACAGCTCCATGCTAACCTCCCCTGGCTAAAATAAACCAGCACTATAATTGTTAGTCAGACTAATAAACACAATGTCTTTTCTTTCAGCCCAAAGCATTTCTCTCAATACAATATCTTTTAAGGTAATGAAGTAGACGGCTGTTTAGATTTTTTTTTTCAGGATACATTGTGGATTCTCCTGCTTTTAAGACCCAAAGAAGGTTGAGTTTTTATTGGTGATTCTAAGAATAGGTGTTTATAACAGTTAATGTGTAATTGGTGAATTCACATAATAATGTTCTATAGCATCTGTTCAAAAGATTATATACATCTATTCAAGTTATATAAAACTATTGTTCATGGTCTTTTTAACAGAGAAAAGTCCTATTCAACACATTTCTCCTCCTGTGATTCATACTGAGCAAGTTTTTTTTTAGTTTTTAATTTTCTCCTACATTAGTTTCATATTTCTCTTTCATTTCTGCCCATTCTAGGTAAAGCAGTTCTATTTCTAGATTTTCTGGGGTAGCAGCCCCAAAGTGATGCTTTAAAAAATCCAAAGCAGTATTACGTTCCTCTGATTCTTTATATAAGACTACCAATATCTTGGTCAATGTGTCCAGCACCCTCAATTTTTCAAAGTACCTCCAGAACTGCTCACGCTTTGAGTCAGCAGCTTCATAATGGGCCATAATAATAGTTACAGCTGCGCAGCTGGCTCTGGAGACCATGGCTGGAAGGCTCTGAGCAGTACTGCCCTCTGCTATCATGTTTGTCTAAGCCTTCATCCCTTCTCGCCTGGGTTATTGCAGCAGCCTCCCAACTAGGCTCCCGCTTTGAAGGATCCTAGCCCGTGCCTGCATGATCCTGTGAAACAGAAATCAGACCACGTCAGGGGAGGGGGGACTGGGTGAAACAGGTGTAAAGGCTGAGAAATATAAATTGGTCATTACAAAATAGTCATGGGGATGTAAAGTGCAGCATAGGGAATATAGTAAATAATATTGTGATAACTATGTGTGGTGGCAGGTGGGTACTGGAAATATTGTGGCGAACACTTTGTAAAGTATATGATTGTCTAGCCATTATGCTGTACACCTTAGACCAATACAAAGTAATATTGAAAATAAACTGTAATTAAGAAAAATTTAAAATGCAGGAAAGGGGTAAAAGTGCAGAAAGAAAGAAATCAGACCATATCATTCCTGCACCAAATTCCTGCTCAGAATAAAAGTCAAAATCAGTATAGATTGTCTACAAGGCCCTCCATGATCTGGGTCCCCATGACCTCTCTGACCTCACCACCCTTATTCACAGCACCTCGGCTCCTGTTTCAGGGCCTTTGCCCATACCTTTCCCTCTACCTGGAACATTGTTCCCCTCACTACCCACAGGGCTCATCCTCCCACTTAGTCTTTTACTCAAATGTTTACTCAGTTAGACATCCCCTAGCCGCCACATAAATCCCACCCTGACATTCTATATCCCCTTTCCCTACTTCCAATTTTTTTTCTTCCCTGGCAACTTACATTATAACATGATATATAGTGTTTATTTATCTTATTTGTTGTCTTTGAGTCCTACTAGAATGTAAAATCTGAGACAAGGGGGTTTTGTCTGTTTTATTTACCACTCTATCCCAATACCTAGCAGTGTCCTGTACACAGAAGGCACATAATATTTTAAGCATTAAGAGTTTTCAGGGGGGAACCAAGATGGCGGAAGAGTGAGTGGAAGTCACGCTGAACTCCTCCCAGGACCAAACTGGAATTACAACTAAATTGTGGAGAAATCACCTGGAACAAACAACTGAACAATAGCAAGAGAGGAGCCTTGTAACCTCGGAGACAGAAGAATTGGCTTTAGCACAGTCTAACTGGTAAGGAGTGCAGTACAGACCTGAGAAGGCAGGCGGGGCACCCACGGGCAGCAGCACAAGAAGGATATTGAAACAGCCAGCTGGATCCCCCTGAGAAGAGTGGAGTCTAAACCAAAAGTGAGGATCTCTAGCCCACAGCACCAGAGCCCAAAAAGTACACAGAAAACAGCCAGCTGTGAAAAGCGGCGGGGTTGCTCTCTGCCAGAGACAGGTGGCTGGAGACACAAAGAGCCTTCTAAAGGGCCAACGCAAAATTTTTATTTGCAGCCACTTATGCTGGTCTCCGGCAAAGGCGGGGGAGAGTGGGCTAGAGACACCTGAGGAGAGACTGGGGAAGGAGGCTTTGGGAAGAGAACTGAGCGTAGCCAGCGGGATCTCGGTGCTTACTCATCCCCCATGCCACAGCAGCCATCTTGCTCAGGCAGAGACCACTCCCCCTGAGCTGCACTAGCGTCAAAGGACCCAATAGTCCCGCCCTCAGGTGGGATTCAACCCCACCCTGTGCTGTCTAAGCTGCCTGCTGAGTGCAGAGTGGCAGCCGCAGATAGTAGATCCCTGGCTAAAGGGGGCGCAGGGAGGTCTGGTGACACTTGAGGAGAAACTGAGGATGGAGGCTTTGGGGAGAGAAGGAGAGAGTAGCCGGTGGGAACCCAGTGCGGACTCCTCCCCCATATGGCAGCAGCGTGAAAGGACCCAATAACTCTGCCCCCAGGAGGGACTCCGCCCTGCCCTGAGCTGTCTAAGGCAGCCTGCTGAGTGCAGAGTGACTAGATTAACAGCTTAAGGAGACAGCCACAAACAGTAGATTACTGGAAGTCTCTAACAGACTGCCTCAGGTCAGACAGGGTCAACATCTGACATCATCAGAGGCAGACCCAGAAAGTAAAAAGAGACATCTCCAACCACAGAAGTTCACACCACAAAGTCAGGAAATCAAGACAGATCAACTGAAGAAGCAGAAGCAAAAGAGAAGAGTCTCACAAATAATGGGAAGACAAAGAAATACCCCCACTCGAAGGGAAAGGAGGAATCCCCAGAAAGAAAACTAAATGAAATAGAGGCAAGTAAACTACCAGATATTGAGTTCCAAATGACGGTTCTAAGGAAGCTCGATGAGCTCAGTGAGCTCAGAGAGAATTACCAAAAACTACAGGGAAACTACGAGGAACTTACTGCAAACTATATCTGCATGAAAAAGGACATAGAAACTATCAATAAGAGACAAGAGGAAATGAAGAATACAATTTCTGATTTGAAGAACGCAGTAGAAGGAGTCAAAAGCAGGCTAGATGAAGCCGAGGGACGAATCAGCAAGCTGGAGGACAAGGTAGAAAAAAGCTCCCAGAAAGAGCAAGAAAATGACAAAAGACTCAAAAAGAATGAAGAGGCATTTAGGGAAAAGCAGGACAATCTGAAACATAATAATATCCGTATAATAGGGATACCAGAAGGAGAAGAAGAGGAGGAAGGGATAGAGAACCTGTTTGAAAAAGTCATGATGGAAAACTTCCCTAGTTGGAGGAGAGAAAATGTCACATAAGTCCAGGAAGCACAGAGGGTCCCATTCAAGAGGAACCCAATGAGGCCCACTCCAAGACACACCATCATTAAAATGACAAATCTCAAAGACAAACAGAGAATCCTAAAGCAAGCAACGGAGAAAGAGGTAGTAACATATAGGGGAGCCCCAATATGGCTAGCATCTGACTTCTCAACAGAAACACTGCAAGCCAGAAGGGAATAGAAATATTCCAAGTCATGAAAAGCAATGGTCTGCCAGCAAGACTGCTCTACCCAGCAAGGCTCTCAATTAAATGGAAGGTGAAATGAGGAGTTTCCCAGACAAAAGAAGGCTAAAAGAATACACCTCCGCCAAACCAGCACTGCAAAATATGCTAAAGGGACTGCTTAAAGGTGAAGAAAAAATTTCTATGAATACCTAGTTTCTTTCAGAGTTGCCAATACTTGATATTACCAATATTTTTAATACTCATTAATCTCATTATGGCAATGTTATTTTAATTGTTCCTTTACTATTTGTTGAAACTAAACCTGTTTTAGTATATTTCTTGCCTATTTCTATTATTTTAAAAAAAAAGCTTTAAATGACTTTTTGGTATTCTTTATCCATTTATTGATTAAAGGTTTGTAGAACGTCTTTCCCTAAAAAAACCTATTAACCATGTTTTAGACGTGTTGCAAATACTTTTCTACTCTATTCCTTGTCCTTTAACTTTTTTTATATGTGTATTACTATATAGTTAAATGTTCTAATAGAGTCATATTGTCAATATTTACTTTATATATTCTGGGGTTGAATATTTTACTTCAGGTCATGGAAAATATTAGTTCCATTTTCTTCTGAAACTCCTTATATTCTACATATTGTTATTTAACTCACCTGAATATTTCTTGTATAATGTGTGAAACAGGGCTCTATATTTGTTTTATTTCAAGTAATAGTGGTCCATGCACCTTATTTGTGGAATAACCCTTATTTTATCCATTGATTTGAAACATCAACTTAATCATATATATATTAATCAGACCTATAATTTTGTCTCTAGAATGTTCATTATATTTCATTGATCTACTTGATTATTTCTGTGCTGGTGTCATGGTGGTTTAATTGCTGAGACTTTATAATGGTTTTAAATTTTTAAAAATATTTTATAATTAACTTTGACATTTAAAAAAATAAATAAAATCAATCTGCATTTAAGAAAGAAATAAAAAGAGATGGAACTCCTACCTCTTGCGACAACATGGATGGAAGTGGAAATATTAAGCTAAGTGAAATAAGCCAGTTGATGAAAGGCAAATACCATATGATCTCACCTATAAGTGGACTCTATTCAACAAAATAAACTAATGAACAAAATAAACCACAGGCACAGAAACATGGAGCAGACTGAAAGTGACCAAAGGGGATAGGGAAAGAGGACAATGGTGGAAAGAAGGGGAAGGAACTAGACGAAGAACATGTATGGATGACCCATGGACATGGACAAGAGTATGAATTGACTGTGGGAGTGGGGGTCGGGGTGGGATACATGGAGAAGGGTAAAGCGGGAAAAATTGAGACAACTGTAATAGAATAAACATGATTTATAGATTAAAAAATTTAAAAAAGTTTTCAGCAGAAAGATACCATGATCAGAATTATCTTTTGATATGATTAACTCTCAGTGGGTTAAGAAGCTATGGCAGTAATCATGGGCCACAATGTACAACCATGAGTGTTGCATACTGCACAACTGGAGTGAAATGAGAAAAGTTATTCCCCACCTGGAGAGACATAAAGGGCTACCAGCCTTGGTGGAAACCATGGAGGTCATTAGAAGTGGTCAGTCTGGCTATGTTCTGGAGGTAGAGCTTGCTATGATTTGCTGAAAAATTAAATGTAAGAGGTGGAAAAAGAAAGAATCAAAGATATTTTCAAGATTTTGTTGCAGTTCAAGAAAATCCAACTGACAGATGAAGAAGCCATTATATTCGTAGGAGCTTACCACACTTCAAATCAGAGTACACAAGCTGAGAAATCTGGTCCTCACCAGTCCCCTCCAAATCCTATCTCCAGCGATACTTTTCTCTTCTACTCATTATACCATTTGCTACACCATCCCTCAACAAGCCCTCCACTTTTCCAATTTACCAGCTTTGCTCACCCTATACCTTATCTGACTTCTTTGTCTGACCAAGTCCTCCTGATTCAAATTAACATCTCCTTCAAGATGCCTTTCCTGATCCCCTCAGTCCAAAAATTAATCTTTCCCCAAATTCACATTTCACTCCTTCCTTCTGTGCTTCTGTAACAGCACTTACCTAGAGAGGATACTAAGAGGTACGTTATTTCTGTTTACAGCCAGTCACAACCCCCATGTAATCACCAATCCCCACCTAGACTGTGAGTTGCCCCACACAAAGGACCCACGTGTTGTATCACTGATGTCTGACTCCTTCAAAATATCAATTATGGTGTTCGACAGGAAGCAGATGCTCTATATAATTGTATTG